AGAGAGAGAGAGAGAGAGAGAGAGAGAGAGAGAGTGAGAGAGAGAGAGAAATTTCACGGAAGCGGCTCGATGAAAAGCGAGGCAAGACGAGGCGTCGCGGTGTGGATTCATCTTTTAATATTAATTTATATAAGTATAAGTATGAAATAGGATTTAAAATAAAATAAAAATAAATAAAGAGAGACACTCGAGCGTCATTTGTAAGCACGATTGAAAAGCCAACATCGTTCGCGCCGCGGCGCCTGCTTGCTACAAGAATTTCTTCTCGGTCGCGATGCGCTCCGACTCGAACGATTCACTTCGCCTACGGATTTATGTTCCGCTTCCAAAGTCTGTACCCCGATTCTGTAATTCTTAACAGTGTCGATGTATTATCGTTATATTATTGTTGCGTAGAAAAACTGCGCAACGTCAACTTAACGATAATTGTCGTTAAAAGTTACGGAATCGGAATTCTGTATATGACTACCGGACAATTAACGGTATCGTTATAATTAACGACACCGACAACTGTCGATATTCATATACAGAATACGTGTCCAGAAGTGTCGCACAAATGTTCTCTGTAGTATGTTCACATCTGAAATCTGCTGCAGTGCACTGCACTATGTGCATTTGCATTATGTTTGATACATGCGCATTGCACTATGTTTGACAATGGTAAGTAATGTAAACGCTGGAGTCTCCGAATTAAATTATGAAGAAATATGAGCAAGTGTCAGAAACACGCGACTAATGTTAAGCGTAAAGATTAATAGCTAGCTTAATATAAAGTAATGTCCCGAAGAAACTCTTCCAGCGTTCGTATCTACTTACGTCAGACACAAGTCACACGAAATGAATGTCAGATGTAAACTTACCGCCACTGCTAGCATTTCGTCTCACGTTGTGGGATCGATCGGAAAAGAGAATGACACTTGGCCGAGACCGCGACGGTATATCGCAAGCTCAAGAAACTCATATACGTACTTATTCTTTCGTTTTTTTTCCCCTCATGAACAATATACTCTCAGGAATTCATTGAAATGCATCGGTAAACAACATAACGTAATATTCGCAGCGCTATGAAACGACCAAGAAAGCGATAGAATTTCGAGCGCATCGCGGCGCGCCCGCGCGATCTCCACTTGCGACATAGATCGGTATTACGTCGCGACAGGTAGGCATGTCAACCATAATACATACATAACACGTAACAAAGGACGCGTGTGCTTTCCCGAGGATCATTGTGATCGGAAGGCGTGAGACGATATATGAACACGCGTCTCTCTAGTCAAATCGAAATTGTCGATATCGTCGCGAGCGGATAGCATACAAGCGACAGTCAGCGTTTGGCTACTGCCCTGTAGATAATATATAGATAGGTATAATGAACGAAAAAGATTAATGATTATAAATATAAATATAAATATATAAATATATATATATATATATATAAATATAAAGAGAGGAAAAATATATATATAAATATACAGAAAAATATGTGCTATGTTCTACATAGGTGCCGAATGCGAGCGTGCGAGAATAACCGTGAGAGAGAATGTGACGTGTGAATCTTTTTAATTTTCGATTCTTTGTTCGACGCGAGGACAGCCCATTCGATCGAAAAAACGAAATACGATACTAATAAAGATCTTAAGCCGATCTTAATTCTAGCATCGATTGCTCGCGTGACATCGATGCGGAAGACGAACGTGATATCGTAAAGATCATAAGCAGTGAGAATACGCGATTAATTTGAGAAAGAGGAGGATAGAGCGACAACGATATAAATAGGCATAAATATCCTTTTAAGACTTTGTAAATGTAATATCTTATTATTATCTTGCAATTATCTTATTATTATCGTTATCGTTATTATATTATATCATTATAGAGTAATTATCATTATTACTGCTTATTATGCGACTATCGTTATTACTATAAATCCTTATTTAAAACTATAATCCTTGTTTCTTTTTCGTTTCTGCTGCAATTTTTGTAAGTCGCAAGAAATATTGTGATATAGGAATTTTGTGATATAGAAGTTAAATGTCTTCGTCGAAGACACTCGCATTTTTCGCTCTCTCCTCTTCTATCTGCAGCAGGGCTGTTTATTTAGGACCTCAACGCGATATCCAGAGGCCTCGCGTCGGCATCGTCGACGAAATTAAGCGGTGAGATTGCTCGAACGTCGTCTTCATTAATAAACGCACAATTTTCTCAACCTTCGATCCCCTGCTTCTTTCTTCACGAGGAAATTTCCCTTAAAATCTATATAGGGCGGAGAGGTAAGGGCATGCCAGATCCACCATTAGCACAACTGCGATCGTGCATGAATCTCCCGACCCTTGCATATGTTGAGACTTCCCAATTTTTGTTTTCAAAGCAATTGGTGAACTCCTTCGTCGCGATGTGTACAGGTAAGTGTTACGTAATTTTACTAAGTCTCGATTAAACTTGGAATTATCTTGAAGCGATATGATTGATTGAAGTATACTAAATCACACATTGGAAGAAATGTTCAAAAGAAGCATTGGAAACGTTACCATAAATTTTAATTCTTATTCATTGCATTAATTTTTAATCTTATTAATTATGTTTAATATAGGGAGAAGTTGCCTATATCGTACCTTAACGTTTAAACAAAATTGTAACAAAAGTACTGAAGAAATCGGAATATTTTTTTACTTACATTAAACCTTGATTCTTTTTGGCAATAAAACAAAACGATACTTTTGCGAAAATAAACATTAAATTATTGTTTAAATTAGATTTAAAAAAAAAATAGCTTATTTCGGTACGATTTCGAGAGGGAGTCATTAAATTGTACCGGTTGATTCCTAAATCGTATTTCTAACCTAGCAAACAAGTTGACAGTATTTATTGTTATTTTTACATTGAAATAACATCTTTAACATCAAAATGACGTCAGTTTGTCTAGGAATATAAATAAAAATTAATAGTATACCTATGTAACGTGAACCATAAATTTTCAGCTCGTAGTGGATAACAGAATGCAACCTGTATATTAGACCCTGCATACACAGGCTGCATTCCGTTATTCACTGTGTTCTACAACCTATAACTTGGAATTAAGTGTGGAAAAATGTTAAAAAATTGCGTACTCGTACCTGTAATTCTATTGAAAGTCAGTAAAAATCAGTATAATAAAAAATCTTGTTTTTCGTCCTTATATTTTTCAGAGTTATAAGTTTTTTAATAATTATTTGCGTCCGATGTTAATAGGTACCTAACTTACCCAGTAAACGTTATTTCGAAACATTTACGTAATACTTACAAAACAAATGTTCACTGTTTGGTAACTACCACGTTATTTTTAGATCAAGTTTAGATAAAAATGTCAGCAACATTATGCCATAATCTAACACATCACTATGTATACATCAGTAGATATTTGTTTCTAATATCTGTCTGAGGTAGGATTCTGTGGATCAATCACCCTCAAATCTGAAAACAATTTGATTCGAGAAACGAATATAGGCCTTGGACAAAAGTGGAAGAGGCTTGTAGACATTCTATGCTCCACATGAGGAGATAAAAGGAGTCATCATCAACACATCACTATGATAGAATAAAATGATGTAACAGACACGTAATATTTATGTATAAATATTACGAAACAAAGACGTTACTTACTAAACACTGTTCTGAAACATTTACATAGTACTTACAAAACAAATGTTTGCTGTTCCGGTAACTAGTACGTTATTTTTATGTCAAGTTTATGTAAAAATGTCAGCAACATTAAGCTGTATCCAATACATCACTATGACAGAATAAAATGATGTAACAGACACGTAATATTTATGTATAAAAATTACGAAACAAAGACATTTCTCAGCGAACACTGTTTTATAACATTTATGTAGTACTAATACAACAAATGTTCACTGATAACGACCATATTTTCTTTTAGATCAATTTTTGGTGAAAATGTCAACATCATTGTACTATTATACATATAATGATACGTATCAAATGATATTCTAAATACCTGATAAAATTTTTTCATACAGAAGTCTGTAAGAAAATTTTATCAATTATATAGTAGTAGTAGTAGTAGTAGTAGTAGTAGTAGTAGTAGTAGTAGTAGTAGTAGTAGATAATAGTAGAGACTTGCAGATGGGCTTTATTAGCCTTCAAACGTGACCTAGATCCATGAGATTCCATTGTCACTCCCTGCTTGTTCCGTAGGTCATTCAGTCGAGTCCAGTCTCGTATCATTTACCAGGCTTATTAGATTGTTGACCTTCGCATCTTCTAAATCCTTGGGTGTCATAAACATATGTCCCCAGGATCTGTATCTTTTACAAGCGAGTGCAGGGCAGCGACATAATAGGTGCAGGTTTTGTCCTCGCTTTCTTCTCCACGTAGCCGGCATTCTTTCTGCTCCGCTAGTTATCAATTATATATACTTCGAATGTAAAAAGGCCAGCAGGAAATAACGCTATTCTCATGACTTCTCAAAAATTCGAAGCAAAATGAGAAATAAAAGCATGTATCGGAGCAATAAACGGTACGCATATCGCAATTTGACACAATCTCTTGATCATTCTAGAGACTATTGCAATCGAAAAATTTTTTTCTATCGTGTTACAAGGTGTTGTGGATGCAAATATGAAGTTTACGAACATTTATTGTGGAGAACCGGGTTCGCTGCACGATGCACGTGTTTTAAGAAGGTTATTATTGTATGATACTGCTCAAAATGGAAAACATTTTTCCTAATGGAATGAGTATAATAGGCGATTCCGCCTATACCATGGCTTGTACCACTATTCAAAGATAACGGACATTTAACAATACAACAGTCTAAATTCAATTTCTTGCACTCTTCAATACGGATGCCAATAGAGAAAGTATATGGCTATTTAAAAGGGCGTTTTCGTAGTTTGAAATTTTTAGAATTACTTGATGTTAAATTTATTCCAAAATTAATAACAGCCGTTTGGATTGCATAATATTGCGATAAAAGAAAATAATGAGAATAAATTTTTTTTTGATGCCATTAATAATAATGACATTAATAATTATGAAATTAACAACTTACATGTTAATAAAAATAGGAATAAAATAGATCGTAGAATGCAAATGTTCCGTGAACTGTTTCCAGAATAATTATTTATTTGTCTACGACGCGCGCAAGATGAGGCTATTATAAGTTAAATATTCACCTAAAATTTTTTTTTTTTTTTTTTTTCGAAGGGGAAATCTTCCAAAGACACCCGGGGGAACCGCCCCCGGGTAGTGTTGGATTCACCGGCTGGCAGTGACCGTCGGCCGAAACCGCGGCCGTCCTAACCGACCGGCGCCTACCAACTAAAACCCCTCCGCCATCATTCCCAGCCTAATAGAAGGGGACCGAATCACTAGAATGTTACACACCCAGTCCCCCTCCGGGCATAGGTCCGGCTGAATCGAACCTCTGCTCACATACTACGACGAAGGGGCATTAGCCCCCGCCCTCTTCACCAGGCCTGCTGATGTCCCCTTTGGTGGAGACGACCCGAGGCCCGTGACTCTCCGGAGGGCAGCTAGCCGAGCCAGCCTCCTCCGGCAGTGTCAGGGCCCCCGACAGGGACCCCTCATCTCGAGAGGAGGTCCCAGAGACTCGGGGAATCCTCCGAGGGTCTCTCTTGGGGAGAGCCCATCCCTCAGAGGCTAACGGTAACTCCTCCAGCACCACCCTTGGCTCGAGGATCAAGGGGTCCGGAGGAGTCCCGCCCCCCGTCTTCGATTTTTTCGTCACCGGCCCCTCCGGCGACGATTCAACGGACAAGGCTGCCTGGAACATCCTCACGGTGTCCCGGTCGTCTTCACTCCTACTGCTCCGTTGTGGGTCCCTCACAGGAGACCGCCTGCTCCTACCCTTAAGAGGTGCTAGTGCCACGGGTTTACACGTGGCTGCACCCGGCCTGTGGTCATGTTTGCGTTCGATCGCATCGGGGTCTCTTCTGGCATTTAACCACCGTATGGTCCGGCTCCCCGCAATTATAGCAACAGAGGCGCCTATCCACATTGGACGGGCATCTCTACTGCACGTGACCTTGAACGAGGCACTTGAAGCACCGAAGGGGAGCACCCTTCAGTACCTCAACCATCGCTCTGGTCCAACCGAGTTTCAAATGACCGACTTTTGCGATCGCTCCACCTACCTCAGCGAGATACCGAACCCACATGAATCCTAGCCCCCTGCGCGCGAAGCTAATACTTCCCATCCTCACCTGATCCGAGGGACAAGGTCCCTCGAGAGCAACAGCAGTCCTGACCTCTGCGGCCGAAACGGATTCGTCAAAGCCCAAGATCCTGAGCTCTATCATCTTCCTCGGTCGAGTAACGGTGACCCGGTCTTCATCACGAAACACCTCCGACATCTTCTCATACAGCCTGTCTGCAGCGATACCGCTGGCCGCACCTGGAATCTCGAGAAGTAGTCCACCTGTCACAGATCTCTTCGGACGAATAGAATTGATCCCAAGAGGATCCAGCTCTTTCCGCTCCCGAGCCCTTATTATTGCCTCCGCAATGCTCAGACCCTCTCCGGACACCATCAATGCGACAGCCGCAGATCGGACCCGAACCCTGCGGGAGGCTCTACCCTTACCCGTTGCCCCCACACCGCCCGCGCGTAAAGCAGCAGACGGACGCGAGGAGGAGGGCCCGGAAGTCCCCCGAGCAGGCACACCCGCGCCCCGAGGGGCAGCAGTCTCCCGCCAGAGGCCCTTCGAAGAGGCAGCTGCCATTTCGGCAAACGAACGACCGGCAATAACCGGGGAAGCTCCAGGGGCAGATCCCCCAGAGGCCCCAGCGCGCGCAGCCGTCCTCTCCTTCTTCCTACTCTTCTTGGGCACAACCCGCGTGAAGCCGTCATCCACATTACTTTATCGACTTCCATGGTCTGGGAACCCGGTGCCCGTACCGGTACGAGCGCGACAGGGGCCCCAGCCGCGGAGGACGAAACCTCCACAGCCGCACGACCCCCACCGCGACCACTCCCGGACTTGGACGGCGCGGCGCAGCAGCAGCGGATACCATAGGCTGACAGGAAGATCCTAAAAGTCTCCGCTCCTTCACCATCCTCCTGCGCGCAGCGCGACCAGGTGTACCACCAGAGGCGGCCCCGACGGCAGCGGGAGGCTGAGGGACAGAACCCCCATCCCCCGCCGCCGGACAGACCACCTCCAGCCGCTCTAGGCGCCGATCCAGGCCGTCCAGTGCCGCGTTGATCACGGCGAGCGTGCTCAAACTATGAGGATCGCCCACCGGAACAATGGGCATGGACGGCCCGGCCCTAACATCCACGGGAGAGATGTGTCCCGCCGCAGAGGCAGCACCAGCGTCATCGCTCAGAAGGTCGACAGCCGCCGACAAACCCGCCCCCCGGATTGGGAGTTCCCTCTCCTTCCTCTTTTCGTATATCTAACCACGGATCTAGCCGTGTCAAGATCTGCCCGCATTAACCGCATTTTATCATTGAGGAGACGATTTTACTCCAATAGGGCCGCAGCGCGATCCGCGTCAAACGCTATCGTATCGTTACGCCCCATCGGCCGATTCGCCAGAAGAAGGGCAGCCTCCCTAGCCAGGTGAATGCCCATTTTCATCCGACCACTAATCAGGCCCTGCAAATTACCCGCACGTGCACGAGCTGACTCAGTATCCGCGAGGTAGTTATCGACCAAACTGGCCACCTCTATCGTAGAGGCACGACCCATCTCGGCAATCTTAAGATCAACTTCTGTCCTCTGCGGCGCCGTAAAAAAGGCAGAAGTGGGAATGCAAACTCTTCGCAAAGGGAGAAAACGTTTATCCCCCTCATCGCTAGATAAGATGCGCCTTATCACGCGGCGAGTCCTGAAACCCTCCATCTTAACCTCTCGAACACGAATGATGATGGAGGTGTCGAATCCAATCGAGGAGGACTTGAGAGGCTCCCGACCATCAAGTCGCGGTCGCCCCCTCGCACGTTTCCTCTTCAAGTCCTCTTACTATCACTTGAGGGAGAGGGCTTAGGGGACTTAAAGGGACCCGCCACGATCTCTGACTCCTCGGACGCCACTGCGGCAGACTCCACCTCCATCCCCACTTCCCTCCCATCCGAAGACAACAAAATAGGCGAACCGACAGGCCCCGACCTGCCAGCCAAGACCTGAGATGCGTCGGAATCCGCATCCGGATTTTCATCGGAATGGACATCCGCGACTGCCTGCACCACGGGGTCGACACCACCAGTCAACCGAAGGGGCGAGCCAATGGGCCAAGTCACCGCCATCACGTCCTCCAATGAACATTCCGAGATCCTAAGCAGGGGCCCAAAAATCGAGCAACCCGTATGCTTCAACCGCTTAAGCATAACGGGGTTATTGAAATCCTTAAAATAAAAAGGAACCATTTCCCCCTTCTCTGATCTAAATAAGGTGTGAGGCTCCAGGTAGGGAAAGCCGTCAAGCTCCCTTCCACGAAAGATAATATCCACCCTAGACCTTAGAGGGCAGTCATAAACCTCCTCAACAACACCCAATCTATACATCGAGCGCCAGACCAGAATCCAGTCCGGGTCTGGCTCTCTCTTCTTCTTAAGAACATCCAGAACGCTGGAGCCAAGTAAAGAAAGATCCCATCGCCTAACCAACGCCTGATACTCCATTGTATCATCCCCCTGCTCCGACCGAGAGGGAGGCTCATCGCCACCACCCCTCAGACGAAAGACCAACGACGGCGCATGAAGCACCGAATCCGAGTTCTCCGCAGAAGCAGTCCCTTGAACCTCGGAGGGGGTCCATCAGTCGCACGATAACGACAGGGGGGGACCCTGGAGTCCAACCCCCCCCCCCCTCTGCCGGCCCCTCTTGCGTCCGAACACGCGTGAGACGGTAGTGATCCGTTTATTTTTATCCGACATAGTAAGATCCATCCGTTATGGATATTTTACAAGCCTAAATAATCTGCGTCAGAGAGTGATTGAGATTTTTAGTACGAAATAAAGTACAAATTTTCTATAACTCTCTAATAGCGTTTTTGACTGTAATGGGTTTGCACCGTTCTAAAGCTGGAAGACTATGTATTGAAAAGGTCCTTATAAAACTTGCCAGTGTGTAATGGTAAGAAGTCTTTTTGCATCTTGGAAACAACTTGTTTATTATGAATTTAATAAAACAATGGATGCGGCGATTCTCAACAATATTATTCTAAAATTGTATGATGCTGGTTATATAATGGTTGCTATAACTAGTGACTTGGGTCCGGGCAATGTTAAATTATGGTCACAATTGGAAATAGGCTTGCACCCCCAAAAGTCTTATTTTCAACATCCCGCACACAATGACTTAAAAGTATTTGTTTTCGCAGATGCTCCACATCTTCTGAAATTGTTGAGGAATCATCTTCTGGATAAAGGATTTTTTTGGAAGGGAAAAATAGTTGATAAGGAAATATTGTTTAAGTTGCTTTCCATTAATGTAGGAGATTTTAAAATTAGCCATAAGATCACTACGTATTACTTAAATGTACAAGGTTCCGAGAGATAGAAGGTTCTTCCTGCTGCGCAAGTCTTATCCAACACAATAGCTTCTGCGATAGAATGGTGCGGTCGTAAAAGTTACCTTTTGAATTTACCATATCAGGAAGCAGCGTATGTTATCAGATTGTGTAATGACTGATTCGATGTTTTTAACACAAAATGTAAATACGATAAACATACAGGAAAAAATGCGTACGGTATAAATATTGAAGAATAGAGTGTAATTTTAAACAACATGATGGTTTTCATTAACGAAACTCGGATAGGAAAAAAAGCATAAAATTTTATTACCTTTTCAAAAAGGCATCTTAGTCAATATCATTTCTTTACAACAACTATTACCATACTTACAATAAGAACAATACAATACATCCGATTTTCCTATCTCTTATTTAATAACTTATCGTCTTAATCAAGATTTGTTAGAAAATTTGTTCTCATTCTTAAGGCCTCTGTACACGGTCAGTAATACTATCAGTATCGACGAATATTGACAATATTATTGATTGTGTGTGGTTAATATTAATGGATTAACGTAGAATACTGACGATGATTTGGACTTAAATACATGCTTTTTCCTTAAGATCCATGACGCCATAGATAATAATATACATCAAATCACGTCAAACTGAAGTGAAATATTATCAATAAAATCGTACAAGATTATAAAATCTAATGTATACTGTCAGTAATACTGATCAGTAATACTGACTCAGTATTATTGACCGTGTAGGGAGGCCTTTACGTTCTCTTCAATAGGAATTGCGAACGATCACCCAACACCCTTAGATTTTAAATACTGATGTGGCGATTGCATAGCCACAAAAGTTAAAATTTAGATAAGCATCATCGGTTGGAGACACACACAGATACACGAACACATGCGTAACATACACAACAAGAAACAGGTAGACGAAAGAGTAAATAGAGAGAGAACCATTTAAAGCAATGAATTTCTTGCGACTGTTTTTGCATCTGTTGGGAATACGCGTCACAAGTGGAATAGGATATGATGAATGAATATAAGCTTGAGATGCACAAATTAGGTTTCTGTAAATCATGTATGGCTTTATTAGATTTGTATGTCATTTTTACAAGAAAAGCATGTTAGCGAGAAAAATGTAATTTAATTTATTATTTGAATTTTAACGACGATAACCGAGAAAAATATATGGTAAATAATATTTACCAAAATATAAATTGCGAGAAAGACAAACGGACGAGATGCGAATGCGAAATGATACGAAAGAGACACAGTCGATCAGCTGACGTGTATTGAGACAGTCGCGTTCGTGGAATTATTGCCAATATTTCGAGAATCCATCTATGTCGCGTAAAAGTATAATTTGTGTTATCGTGATCGAATAGACACTTGAATACAACCACGCGAATTTTATTAGCGTTCTTTATTTTTTCACGCGCTGTATCATATTTGTGCAATTTAATTAAATACTAACTAACATATAATTTCTCTCTTTTCTCACTTTATTTATTTGGTGACGGAGAATTACATTTCACTTTCCTTTTATTCCTTGACATATTCTGATATTTAAATGGAGTCAATGCACAATTGAACTAAACTGATTAAAACGATATATACTGGGCAAACATTCTAGATATGCACTGTCAAATGAATGTAATGTTCAAGAAAACAAATCGAATGAACCTATTTTTGTATCTCCTCTTAGCTGCGATATCGATGATTCTATGTTAACAGATACGCTTTCATTCTATATTGTAGAAGAAAACGCTAATATAACTTACAGTTATGAAGAAGAAAAGTTGTGTATTGGCGAAGTTTCATATGGAAATTGTATAATATTGGATTCATGCGCGATTATTTCAAGTGACGAAGAACAATTGTTACAAGTATTAGAGGATTTCAACGTTAATGAAATTATCAAGAGGGTTAATTAAGGGGAAATTATTAAGAGGGTTTAAAAAATATAGCCGGATATGTAGCGTTTAGGTTTAAGAGTAAAGACAAGACATTGGGTATTGAAACACGACAACTAGAAACAGTGTATGATTCAGATTGGTTGCAATTTATTTCGCGAGGAAAATGCATGTGATAAATTATTACAATGTGCGCATATAATGAATATTGAATTTAATAAGTATCACGGATCCAGTTTAAACAAAGAAAATTTTATATTTAAAACATTAGCACAAATAATACAACCAAAATTGAAAATTAAAATATTAGAAGAAATTTTACTATGC